ACTGGTTCAAAAACTCTGAAGAATCTCATCCAGGACTCATTTACACCCATGGAGGCAGGAACGATCAGTGTGAGAGGAATTCCAGCACACAAACACACACCTGTGTCTACAACTTGCCATTGAAGAGCCTGAATCTTTCTCATGCTGGGACCTACTACTGTGCTGTGTCCTCATGTGGACACATACTGTTTGGAAACGGGACCAAGAAGGAATTTGAAGGTGAGCAACTTTATAGCAAATGTTGTATCATCTGATAAATTGTGTTACACCTCATCATTAACACAGAGAACAAAAGAATAAAAGCTGAAAGCCGTGTAATGTCTTCTGACGTCTGACTCTCTGCAGATGCAGTGGGCTCTCTTGTCTTGGTGTATATGTTGAGCGGAGCTTTGGCAGTCACCACCTTCCTGGTTGTTTTACTGGTTTTCTCAATTTGCAAGATAAATAAGAGCAACAGCTGCGGATCTACAGGTAAGTAGTGCTGTTTGTATCTTACAGCTCTTATTTAGAAAGCATGGCTTTTAAATTAAATACCATTTCCTGTGTTTTCTGGCCAGAGCCTCAAGCAAGATTTTTCACAAATGAAGAGGTGAGTTTCTTTTGAACCAAATGTTCTACTACAATTTTAACTAATTTGTAGTACACAACACTGACAGGTCCACTCTTGTGAATTACATTTTGGTCACCAGGCTTACCAAGATGAACTCCATTATGCTGCTTTAAGAGAAAACTACACCAAAGGATCAAGAAGACAGAGGAACAATGTTAAGAATGAATGCGTGTACTCCAGCATAAAGCAGTAGAACTGGACGCTGGATGTTTCATTTGTACTTTGTGAGCAAGGTGAACATTTCTTAGTGTCTCTTTCAAGGTATAATGTTGACTTTGACAATTACATTTTCATACCTTCTTTAAGGTCTGAAGTCACATTTGATCATATGTGTAGGAAACCCTGCTGTTATTGATGTGTCTATGTAGTTTCAAACAGGATGTCTCCTCAGTATTATATATTTTCTTTTAAAGAAACCAAGCAACCCACATTTCATTATTTTTAGCAGAAAAGATTTGTTGTTTTTTGCAATGAAACCAGTATATTTAGAATGTCAAGTTCACTGATGCTGCACATCAAGTTATTTTTGGTATCTCATTGTAAATAAAGTAAATAATTGTAAATAATTCTTTACACTTTTTATTCTATCCTCTATTGTTCCAAACCACTTGCTGTAATACATGCAATGTAACATAGACTCATGGTGTTCTAGACATCTAGGACAGTAAATGCCGCAAAAGAAATTAATGTCTGGACCCCATCATGAAATTTTCTGAATGTTTGTATGTGTACATCAAGAACTCATGTTGATTTCTCCTAAATGACTGCCTTTAGAAAGTAGAGATTGGTCAGAGTCAAAAGAGCAATATACAAAGGATGACACAGATCTATATACATAGTGTATATATTGCCCGTGACTTGAAAGTATTTATTTATAGAATTTGTGGGACAAGGTCAAGTGTCCAGAATACAATATCAGGAATACAGTGAGTCTGCTTCAATGTTTTCATGTGACATGTTGGCAAAATATGTGTGTGTGTGTGTGTGTGTGTGTGTGTGTGTGTGTGTGTGTGTGTGTGTGTTTGTGCGAAAACATGAGATAAAGAGGGAACATAAAGAGGGAGACCACACAACATTTAAATTAATTTAAACAATATTTTATTCAAAATCCAGATGAAACAATTAAATTGATTTCTAGTCTGTCAGCCATTTTGGTTGCAATGTTGAATCCATGTGTGGTGTTGTAAAGGCAAAACACAGGAAGACTAAACCAAAATTTAGCTGCAATGGTCCAAAACCACTGGTCTTGGACTGCAATCCAGATATGACGTTATCCAGATTATTATATGCCTTGGCTAACATGTAACGTTACAGCATACAGTGCTGCGCACACACCCACACACGCACAAATAATGTCACTGTTTTGAAAAGAGAACAACTACTGATAAACAGGGATGGAACATATTAATATATGGGGCTATATTACAGAAACTTTCTATCTGAAGTCTAAAGACAGCAAGAGTCTAGCTTCTGAAATTCAAGACACGAGTCAGACATGTTGGTAAATCCAAATTGTCCCTTCCCCCGCCAGCTGACCTGTGGCTGGTGACGGGAGCTCCGTAGTTTTTGTAAATGTAAATGCTCTGTATTTGTATAGCGCCTTTCTACTCTTTGCGACCACTCAAAGTGCTTTTACACTACATCACATTCACCATTCACACACATGCATACACTGTGCCTGTGCTCAAACAGAAACTAACATTCACACACATGCATACACTGCTGGAATTGCCACCGGGGGCAATTCGAGTTTCAGTATCTTGCCCAAGGACACTTCGACATGCAGCTGTTGTTGCTTCACATGGAAGCTGTGTTGGAAGCTGTTTCGAGGCTGTCATCGACACCAGGTATGCACCTACTACAGTCACAGCAGCCGTGGTGCATTCAAGGACACCACGACGCTCTCAACCTTTTTGAAAAAAGGCCCATGGTGCGTTCATGGACACCACAGCCTTTTCAATTGCAGCCCCTTGGAAAAAGAGTTGCAGCCTTATTTATATCTAATAATAAAGAAATAAAAATAAAAAACTGGCACACCACCAGACCTCCTCCCTCTGTTATGTGTCCAGCATGCAAGTGGGCCCTCATCGGAGCAGCGAGCCGTGGTGCGTTCAAGGACACCACGCATCAACAGGCCGTGGTGCGTTCAAGGACACCACGCATCAACAGGCCGTGGTGCGACACATCAGAGCAGCAATCTGTGGTGCGTTCAGGGACACCATGGTCCGTTCGATGTCAGACCACCTTTGGGGATAACTTCCATTTATAGAGAGTTTGGAGGCAGAAAGTGCAAAATAGCAGTTGCAGCATTTTGTAGGCGACACCGCTGCATGCTAACAAGCTGGGTGGACAGCATTCTGAGACAGGACTACTCTCTTCAGTTCTGCAGCATACCACCAGTTTTCTTGGACATAATTTAAGCTAGTCTATCCTCTCAGGAGGAAATGGGCTGTTTCTCATGAGGAAACAGATCTACCCTCAGCAGGACATGCACATTCCACTTGTGGAAGTGAGGAAGTGTCTACAACCCTTTTCAGTCCAGGTGTTAATGGTCAGGCCAAGCCCCTATTGGTTAAGCGACTTTCTCAGGGGTGGCCCACCATTATGTCACTAAGGTGATGTGTTGGTTGGGGTCTGGGTTAGTGCGGTGGACTTCAGCTTGTCGTGGCTAGGGCGGACAGTCATCGAGCTACACCCACTGTACCCATATAGTCCAGTAGAGGGCGGAGCCTGTGTGAGATAGAACGAAGGTTACATTATGGTAACCCTAGTTTTATGAGCACAGGAGGAGCCCTCTACCGATGAGCCCTGCTGCTAAGACACATCAGCTGAAGAGGCGGTCAGATGCTGAGGCAGTAGGGATACTGCTATTTATATATCATGCACGTATTGGTAGCGATGTCCTATTGGTCAGCTACATACACAAAAAAGATTTCTGGCATGCTCCCACCTTCAGCTCTGTCAAACCAATCATTGCTGGTTGATGTAAAACTCATCATTACAGCTGCGCGAACATTATTTGACTTGGTGATTCCCTGACTTTTTAACTAGTACCAACAGCGGGTCGCTTATCCAGTGAAATGCCTTAACATGACTTTGCTGACTACTTTGTGTGTGGCACTATTAAATGTTAGCACGCTAACCTGCTAAACTAAGATGGTGAAAATGTTTATTGGAGATCTATCAGAAATTTTTCTACAGCCTCCAGGCCCCATGAGTGTGCAGGCTGGTGTATAAAGACGGACAGCATCTTGTGGTACTGAAGAATTAGGATCACACCATTAGCATTTAAGCCTTGCGACCTAGTAAAGATTCAGTGTGTAAGTTTCAGGGCCATCTAGGAAGTGGTGGGGTTGTAAAATCACTGCTCTCCCCTTCCTTTCCAAGTGAATTGGAGATGCTGCGGTGGCCGACACACTCACACACTGACACACTGTCAGCTCTGGTGCTAAATAATACGTGTGGTCCTCCATTTGTTCAAATTTCACTTCTTACTTCTAACAAACCACACAACTACTACTACTACTACTACTTCCTTTTTCATATGTATAAGAGTTTGTCCATTTGGGTTACTGTAGCAACATGGCAGGGCTACATGGCGACTTCCATGTAAGAGAACCTGTGGTGTTTGTGGATAGAAATGGTTTATTCTAAGGTAATAAAAACATAACAGTTCATTATGTAAGGTTTATACACCACTGAAAACATAGTTATGGATATTATATTGCATTTCTGTCAGCAGATCCTCTAAATATTACGCACTGGACCTTTAATATTTGCTGGTACATTTTTGAGCTGTTCTTGTGTACTAAAGCAGAGCTAGCACTTTGAACCGTCTAGCTAGGATATTAAATGACAACACCGAATCCATCTTTTGAAATGAGCATATTTTATTTATTTTCTAATTCTGACCCTTTGTAACAACACAGATGACATTCTAGGTAAAATGGTCCACTTCATTGGAAGTTTATTCAATCAATGAACCATTAATCTATTGCTTAATATAATAGCCTTTAGGTTTATTATATTCCTTAAATTTTTATTCACAAAATCTGGCAAGTGATCATTGTCCTGTTGTATGATTAGTGTATTTGTTAAGTAAGTAGTTATAGTTACTAAATAATTATACCTGTCTAATAATGATCAGTTCATTGCCAAAGCTGTATCAACTCCACTATATGTTATTAGTGTAAACATTATCATGAAACCATGCAATGATTTATGAATCAATATCTTATCTCCCTAAAACTGTAAACAAACAACATGAATGGGAAACCCATTTCACTACAGTGGCAGTGAACATGTGATCAAATTTCCTAAATAGGATGTACAGTGTCACTTCTGTTTGGCCAATCAAACACAGTCTTGTCTCTGAAGAGAGGAGAAAGGACAGATTCTTTCCATTCAGCACGACAATTTGAACACGATGACATCTCCAAAGTTTGTTTTCTATCTGACATGTCTGTTCTTGGCAAAAATTGGTAAGTTTTTTTTGTGTGCCTGCAGTTGGGATTTTATATGGTTACTGCTCATTGCTCTCATATTTCTTTATAGTTTTCATGTGTTCATAAAGTGCATTTGCTTTGTCTCTCCTATCACTTCAGCTCAGACAACTGATCTGAAATCCTCCTCATCCATTCAACAAGACAGTGGTTTTATGTCAGTGAAAATAGGGGACAACATAATTTTGCGATGTTTCTATAAAGGTGATGTTGCAGCAAGGTTTCACTGGTATAAACAAACTCTGGGACAGAGACCAAGACTCATCTCCACCTTTTATAAGTATGAAAAAAATGGAATTTTTCATGATGAATTCAAAAATAATCCACGCTTCACACTGGATACTGAAATAGGTAAAAATCACTTGAAGATAACAGATCTGCGCGTTTCAGACTCAGCTACTTACTACTGCGTGAGTAGCTATTCATACAACTTTGAATTTGCAGAGGGCACTACTGTCAGTGTAAAGGGTTCAGGTTCAACCGTCCCAGTTTCGGTCTATCAGTCAGCATCTGAGCCCATCCAGCCAGGAGGCTCTGTGACTCTGAACTGTACAGTACACACTGGGACCTGTGATGGAGAACACAGTGTTTACTGGTTCAAAAACTCTGAAGAATCTCATCCAGGACTCATTTACACCCATGGAGGCAGGAACGATCAGTGTGAGAGGAAACCCAACACACAAACACAAACCTGTGTCTACGACTTGCCATTGAAGAGCCTGAATCTTTCTCAAGATGGGACCTACTACTGTGCTGTTGCCTCATGTGGACACATACTGTTTGGAAATGGGACCAAACTGGACTTTGAAGGTAAGTAACTTTTTAGCAGAAGATTATTTTTTAATACTCCCTATTCAAAGTCAAGCTTTGTAATGTGTCCTGGTGTCTGACTCTGCAGATGAGGTGAACTCTCTTGTCTTGGTGCATTTCTTGAGTGGGACTTTGGCATTCACTATCATCCTGATTGTTTTACTGGCTTCCTTAATGTGTGTGATCAACAAGAGAAATAACTGCAAATGTACAGGTACTGTGACTGCTGTTCTTTGTAGTTGTAGTGGTTACTCACATAACATGGTATTATAGTAAAGGCACTTTCCATCTATTTCAGAGTCTCATGCAAGATTTTCAGTTCCCCCCACACCAAATGCAGAGGTATTTTTTGTTAAGATAAACTATTCTATTACCATTCAAACATTTTCATCGTGGGCAACAATTTTTTTCGGATACAGTTTTTATTTCTCTTAAGTACTACATTGTGATTTACTGTTCTACATATTATTATCAGGGTGTCCAAAATGAAGAAAACATCCATTACGCAGCCTTGAAGGAACAAAAGGTCAACAGCTCCAGAAGACAAAAGAACAACACCAGGACTGAATGCGTGTACTCAAGTATAAAGCAGTAGAACTGTACATGTTTTGTATTTGTTTCTGTGTAACAAGACAAAAAAAGGCTTATTAGTTTTTTTCTAAGTGTAATAAGTCACTAAGGGCATATTATCACATTCTTTTTTGTGACTAATGTGAAAGAACAGCTACCATGAGGTAAAGTGGAAATATGACCTTCATCCCGAATTCATTATTAGGGTTAGACCAACCAAGTCTTAAAATTCACTACTTCAAGACAGTCACCACTGAAATCTGCTACATATGTTTACTTCTGCATTTAATGTCCTGAAAACGTATATTGTCAATCTGCTTCTTACTAGGAAAAATGGGATTTAAAATAAATAGATAAATTCTCTTTGCTGTTTTGTCTGCGCTCTTCTCAATGGTTTTAAGTTGATGGGGCTCAGATGGAAAGAAACATGTCACATTTTTATGGTTACCAATCAGAATATTTCAATCAGAATCTGATGGCAATCAGATTATTTTTCTTTACAGTATTTTGCCAAGCTACTGTCGATCAAATCTGATCAAACCACACCCACACAGTTCCAATAGAACAGTTGAATTTTTGAGTTTTAACCTCTTACATAAATACCAAATGATTTTATTTTTTTAACTTTAACTTCGCTGCTTATAAATATTTTATGGATAAACATTTGCAGTTGCTTTAAGTGTGGTTTAGTAACTTGCATAAACTTTGTGCAATAGCAATAAATTTGCATGATGAATAAGCAAAACATTCTGCCTGTGAGACTTACTGTATTTGCTTGTTTTATACACAAACCCTTCTGGGTTGTCAGAATGTGTTGTCATCAAGTGTATGAGCTGAGAAGAGGTAAGGTGAATTCCCACCTCTAACCATCTGCCAGCGTCTATGACTCTCAACTGTATGATTACATGTTATAGATTAATTCCTGATGTGTAAACTATCTAAAGTAAGCAAACCCAAATCATAACAATATACTTTATTTTAACTTTTCTCACTAAAGTCCTAAAACCAGGGTGGTACTGTAGGAAGGCCTTTGTTAAAGAGGTCATATTTTGCTTTTTAGCTTTCCTTTATTTTGTTTTGTATCTTTTTTGTGCATGTAATAGGCTTGCAAAGTGAATAAAACCCCAAATGGAGTTCCCATCTCCCACAGAAAACACTGCTCTGAACTGCTTGAAAACAGCTTGTTTGTAGTCCAGCCTTTTTATTTCTTTTACCATGTTGTGTCACAAGCTTAATGGCTCAAAAACAATGGTGGAAAAACACACTGTGCTGCAGCACACACACACTGATTAGACATCCGCCCGCTGTCTCCCCTCATCCCTACTCTCCTTACGGAACATGAGACAGTCAATGGACATAAAGTTGTTACTGTGATGTAGAGACAGTATACAGTTAAAACGTTACGTATGCAAGATCAATGTGTTACAAATGAATAACTCACCACTCTGAACTCCAGTCTGAGTTGCGAAGCTGGTTCGGGAACATATACAGCTGAACCGAAGCAGTGTTTACCGGCTTGTCAGGACCCGTCCTACTCTGCTTCTGATTGGCTAGTAGTCCTTAACTCGGTACTGTGCATGTGCAACTCCCAACAAAAATATTTTAGGATTGAGATGCATCAGTCTGTAGCTAAAACAGAGCGGTCAACACACAGGGAGAACAGGGGTGCTGCAGCAACATATGACAAAAATTTGGGGCTTTTTTGAAAATTAAACCATGTAAACCTGCTCTGGTACAACCCCTAAATAGAATGATGAACCTGAAAATGATATGAAAACTTTTAATCCAATGGTATCATGGACCATGGACTTCATTAAAATTACTATAGCCATGTTATGTCTGTACTACTCCCAAATGTAGTGCCAATTCACCCAACAGTTTTATGAAAAATTTCAAACATAAACCTTTTGGTGGTGACAGAAGAAAACACAGGGATCAACAAAGTCATTATGAGTCAGTCTCTGGGGACAAAGCATGTCTGTGCAGCTTCATGGTAATCCAGCCTATACTGGATGAGATAAAACACTCTGGACCACAGTGGTGGAGCCAGAACACAGGTCACATATGGCCTGTGACAGCTATATCTCAGTAAACTGTATGGCCATAGTTCTTTTGGAAAAACTACAAAATTTTCCTCAGTGAAGCAATGGTACGGCATCCTGAACTTCCTGTGAACACTTGCTGTGTTTAGATATGCAGACATTTGATATGGATGTGTATGATGTAAACAGTTTCTGTCACTGCCTCCTCATTATATTTATATTTATTCATATAGCTGATCCTTTTATCCAAAGCGACACACCTCAGGAGCAACTAGGGGTTGAGTCTCTTGCTCAGGGACACAGTGGGACATTGAACCCGGGTCTCTCACATCAAAGGCATTTGTCTTATCCACTGCACCATCACCACCCCTCCTCACCCGACACATTCTCATTCCCAGCTCGTCACATATGGACGCTTGGTCAAGACCCCTTGGCGTCACTGGGTACCTCTTTAGCTATGTTTTTGGACTTGTAGTAACAATAAATATGCAACGTAGGAAACAGCACCACAATTTGGTTAGGTTAAGGCACCAATATTACTTAGTTAGGTTCAGGAAAAGATCATGTTTTAGGTTAAAATAACTATGTTACCTAAGTTACGCAACTTACAGGAAAACATTCACTGTTAACTTTTTGTTACACACAGGAAACAAACACTGGTCTCTCTGGTCTAGGGGAAAGTCCAGTGTCTGGCACACCCGGCCACCTCCTTCATTTGATATTTCTGTTAAATATCACAGAACTACCTGTAGCGTTGAAATACGATGCTACAAGTCTTAGTGAGTTGAACTCTGACACTGAGTGGCTCCTCAGTGTGTTACAAACGTCTCGGGTTACGTATGTAACCCTGGTTCCCCGAGAAGGGGAACGAGAGACTGCGTCGGTTACGACACTATGGGAACGCCTCTAGGCGAAGCAGGTCTGAACGTGAATGAAATCACTCCAATCCTATTGGCCTGTTGCTAGAACGGTAAGGTGTGACGGAATAACCGGAGGAGTATAAAGCACACCTGTACACACTCATCATTAGCTTAAACTATGAAGCAGGCGCTTCAGGCGGGGAGAGAGGTGCGGCGGGCCGACGCAGTCTCTCGTTCCCCTTCTCGGGGAACCAGGGTTACATACGTAACCCGAGACGTTCCCCTTCGAGGGAACTCGAACTGCGTCGGTTACGACACTATGGGAACGAGATACCCACTAAACCGTGCCGAAAACCCCGCCTGCCCCTGTGTGCAATAAAGTGGCACTACTAAGAGGAGAGCGCACGAGTGCCAGGTGCCGAAGGAAGGTCAAGACTGTAAAACCGAATGAATGTGTGCGGAGTGGCACAGCCAGCCGCTAAACAACATCCTGCAAGAGGCCCCGGAAAGGAGGGCTCGAGAGGCCGCCTTGCCTCTGGTAGAATGAGCCCTCACAGCCACAGGTGAAGGCAAACCGCGCACCTGATAGGCCAGGGAAATAGTCTGAACAATCCAGTTGCTAATAGTATGTTTGGATGCAGGGAGCCCGGCCCTGGGAGACCCAAAACACACTAGCAGCTGGTCAGCCTTCCTCCAACGGGAGGACCTCAGAGTGTAAATACTCAGTGCTCTGACAGGGCAGAGCAGATGAAGTCTCCCGTCCTCCGCCGTCACATGAGGTGGAGGATGAAATGCCTGCAGCACTGTGGACCCTGCCGCACAAGAAGGCACTTTAGGGATGTATCCTGAATGAGGGTGCAGGATAGCCCTAATATTCCCCGGGGCAAACTCCAGGCTTTGCGGGGAAACCGAAAGCGCTTGGAGATCCCCCACCCTCCTTAGAGAGGTGATAGCAAGGAGAAAGGCCATCTTGAGGGTCAAGTGATTAGCCTCAGCTGACTCCAGGGGTTTGAAGGGGGCCTCAGCCAACGCCCCAAGAACCACTGCCAGATCCCAAGTGGGAACCTTGGACCGAGTCGCAGGTCTCATCCTCCGGGCACCACGGAGGAAAAGTACAACCAAGGGAAGTTTTCCCCAAGAACCCCTCCCTCAGAGGGGTGTGGAAAGATGAAATAGCTGCCACGTACACCTTGAGGGTGGAAGGGGAAAGACCAGCAGAGAACCGGTCCTGGAGGAACTCAAGTACCTGAACCACCGGGCAGGTAACAGGGTCCACCGACCGCTCCCTACACCAAGTGGAGAAAACACTCCACTTCAGGCCGTACATCCTCCGTGTGGACGGGGCCCTGGAGCTCAGGAGGGTCTCGACTGCTCCGGCTGTTAGACCCGCCTCTAGGTACTGTGCCCCCTCAGGGGCCAGACCCACAGTCGCCATATGGCGGGGCAAGGGTGAAGAACCCGGCCCTGCGCCTGGGACAGCAGGTCTCTCCTCAGAGGGACCCGCCACGGCGGGCCGTCCAGGAGCGACATGATGTCCGAGAACCACACCCGGGTTGGCCAGAACGGGGCTACGAGCAGTAGGCCGACATAGTCCTGGCGGACCCGCTCCAGAACCCCGGGAGCAGAGCGACTGGGGGAAAAGCGTACAGACGTAGCCTCGGCCACGAATGTACCATGGCGTCCAGACCCAACGGGGCTGGAGGAACGAGAGAAACCATAGCGGGCAGTGCGTAGTCTCTTGAGACGCAAACAGATCCACGTCTATGGGGCCGAACTCTTCGCACAAGAGCTCCACCCTTCGGGGTGAAGTCTCCATTCCCCGGGCCTCAGCCCCTGCCTCAACAGCAGGTCTGCTCCCTGATTCTGTGTCCCCAGGAAATACATCGCCCTGAGCGATAGTAACCTCTGCTGGGACCACAGGAGGATCTGACGCGCCAGTCTGTCCAGAGGGCGCGAGCGCAGACCGCCCTGGTGATTCAGATAGGCCACCACCGCTGTGTTGTTCTCCTCAGAACGAACCAGGACGTGGTGGCCTTGGAGATCGGGCAGGAAACTCCTTAGAGCCTGGAACACCGCCAACATCTCGAGACAGTTGATATGCCACTCGGATCGATGCACCTGCCAGGATCCCCTTGCAAAGCGGCCGTCCATGACCGCGCCCCAGCCCGTGAGGGAGGCGTCTGTCGAAATAACCAGCCGGCGACAAGACCCTCCCAGCACGGGCCCCTGGGACAGGAACCAAGTTTCCTTCCAAACTGATAGGGAACGAAGACACTTGCGCGTAACCCAAACCAGACGGAGAGGATTCCCCTCGGGGAAAAACCCTTGTTCCTTAGCCACCACTGCAGGGGTCTCATGTGCAGCAGTCCAGATGGTATTACGCTGGACGCAGCCGCCAGGAGACCCAACACTCGTTGAAAGTGTTTCATAGTGATGGCGTGGCCTAACTTCACCCCTTTCACGGCAGCCAATATGGTGTCGACACGTGCCGGAGACAATTGTGCCCGCATCGTTGTCGAATCCCATGCAACCCCTAGGAACGTAGCCCGTTGGGTGGGCGCCAGCACGCTCTTCTTTGCGTTGAGCCTCAGCCCTAAACGCCGCAGACGAGCCAGAACGACATCTCGATGCCGAACCGCCAACTCTCGAGACTGGGCTAGGATGAGCCCGTCGTCGATGAAGTTGAAATCCGGATGCCCCGGAGCCTCAGCGGGGCCAGTGCTGCATCCATACACTTGGTGAATGTGCTAGGGGAAGTGCCAGGCCGAATGGAAGAACCCGATACTGGTAAGCCACACCCCCGAAGGCAAACCTCAGGAACTTCCTGTGAGAAGGACGGATGG